CGAGCCAAATTGACAGCCCTATGTGATGAAAGAAAATGTGAAGAAAAAGCGATAATGTTTTTATAAATTCGTAAAATTAGGAAATAAGTTGTTTTTTGGGTGAAATTTTGTAAAGAATGAATTAATATTCTTTGTGTAAAGTTTCAAAAATTTGTATTGAAATTTTTTGTAAAAGATTGTATTTTGTAAATTTTCATCTTTTTTTGTTTAATTTGTAAATTCTAAAATTTGTAATAAAATTTGTATTTTGTAAAATTTGGTGAAAAAGTATTAATGTTTTTTTTGTAAAATTTGGTTTGCAAATTTTTTCTAGAAATTTATTCTTCAAATATGTTTTGAATTAAGTTGGTAGTTCAAACAGTTTTAATAAAAAAATATTTTTACTTTTTTTAAAAAAAAATAAATTATTATAATAATTTAATATTATAACGAGCTAATTTCGAGCCGAACATGAGCCGAACACGAACACGATTATCATTTTCGAGCCGAACACGAACACACTGTTCACGAGCCATTTCGAACACGAGCTGATTTCGAACGAGCCGAACACGAGCCAAGAGTGAGCTCGCTCAGGCTCGGCTCGTTTACAGCCCTACGCATAAGAACAATAGATGCTTCCTTTTCATTATGTACAATAATGCCAAGCAATCTGTTTGTAATTGGATCATTACCAATATTTCTAGTCTCGCAAAACTACACATTTACAGAATAGTTTAAACATGATTAAGTATGGAAATCATTAAAATAAAAAGCAAGAAAATAAATACCACAAAATAACATCATAATAACATTAAAACAAAAAAAAAACAATGAATAATTTCATAAAAAACAATAAAAACACCACAGAAGCACCAAAATAACACCACAAACTACTACAAAACAGCACAATAACACAATAATAACAACACAATAATGAGCAATAACACCATAATAACGCCACAATAACACCAAAATATCCCCACAAAAAACACCACAATAACCTCACAAAACCATCACAATAATCCCATAAAATACCACAAAAGCACTGCAAAAATACCACAATAACATCACAATAACACTAAAATAACATCACAATAACGTCACAATAACACCACAATAATGACACAATAACACTATAATAACACTACAATAATGATCTAAAATAACATCGCAATAACGTCACAATAACACCAAAATAAAGACACAATAACACTATAATAACACTACAATAATGATAAAATGACGCCACAATAACACCAAAAACATCATAATAACACTATAAAAACACTTTAATGCCACGATAAAATAACCACAATATCTCCACAAAAATACCACATAAATAACACAAAACCAGCATAATAATATAAACACAACACCGTCATAATCTCACCTCAATACCACCATAATAACAATACAATAACACCACAATACAACCACAAAATCATCTTAATACGAGCACAAAATCACCACAATATCTCCACATTCCCACCACCCACAATACCACCCTAATAATACCACAAATTGCTATCATATCACCAAAATAATAAGACAATAACACCATAATGCTACCAACATAAAATCACAATACCACCTCAAAATCATCGTAATACCAAAAAAAATAAACAATAATAGTAAATACCACAAAAAAAAAAAAAATATTACCATCAGAATAACACTATATCAACGTCATAAAATAAAATCATAACCAAAATATAAGAAAACTAATATAATACCATTGATTCGAAGTACCGAAGGAAATCAATCAAACATAAATTAATGTTAACATTTGAAGCGCAGCTTATTTTATCTCAATTTCAAACTTGTCGCCATTATTTTCTAGACACAAGCAAAACCTAGTTCTTTGATAGGAAATGAATCATGCGCTGGATTTTGAACAGGTTGAGAAGATCATGCACCAAAATACACCTTTCTGACTTATTTTTTTTTCCCGATGGGTATTTACAAATAGCGAAATATTATAGGAGTTCAAAAGCATCATGCAATATTTTTTTACATCTATGAACACTATTGATTAGCTGATACTCTCTTGATTAGTTTTTGTGAGGGATCATCACCGTATCCCTCAAATTCCCGTTTTTTCATTTTTAAAGAATAGGATTAGGGTTAATTTTTTTCGGAGAACATTTGTGAACTTCGACTAGATCCGGGAAGTATGCTTTCTAGATGGAGAAAGGCAGCTTCTATGGTCCGGCATTTTGGAGTGCGCCAGAGAGTTTCGAGTTTAGAGGAAATTTACCCCTTCGGTCGAAGCTACTCCGGAGTTCATGCGGCAGCAGCTGCGACGCCAACAAGCTCTCCCGATTCGGACCTGAAGCAGCCTTCTAGCAAACCAGAGGTGCGATCACTTCCTAATGGATCTTATCCGAAAATTCATGAATTTAGTAGAAGTGTATGTTGTTCTGAGAAGTGGTTTTCTGCTATATTGCCACCATTGTGTTTATTGCTTGTTTACAAAATTATATTTTGCTATGAAATTTTGAGAACTATGAAAATTCCTATACTTAAAATCTTAATGTAGCGTGTGATATGGTTCGAACAAGAATCAGCAACACAGTTGGATTTGCGATCTAAAATTATGGTATTTTTATTGTTTGACTGGCCTTGACTATATAGGGCATTCTGACTTAAGTTGCGCTGCAATGAACTTCCATTGTTTAGCTAGGATAGGAATGAAATGAAGTATCTCATAGTCTTTTTCTAACTATGCATTACCTGTAGCTTTTAGGTTTCTCTCGTATTTTTCTGCTCATATCTTCTGGAAGCAACATTCTCTATGCATTTGCGGAGATTACATTGCACTTTTTTTTTAAAAAATTTTTGCATTGTAACTTATTATTGATAAAGTTTTGTAGGTTAAATTAAATGCCATGTTCTGGTCTAAACCCGGCTCTTTGGCTCTTCCTCGTGGTTCTCCTTTAAGAATAGAAGAACCCCAGTATGAGGGCCTTAAGCATATAATGCTCAAGCTATTACTGTTTTATAGTAAACAGAGCAGATCAATCAGAGGTGCAAATGTTGTCTATAGGAGGATCATTTCTCAGGTTGATAAGCCTGCTATCTATGATGGTATACTTCTATTGCTATTAGCTGCTTACATAATCAAAACATTCGAAACTTTGTCTATTTGTGTGCTCGTCTTCGATGTAAAATTCATTACTTTGAAACAATGGAGTTTCAAAATGATGGAGATTTGCTTTATTTGATTACTTACTCCATCACTCCTACTTGTTTTGAATTACTCTGATGCACGTGAACAACAAAAAACTACTTTGCAATAGAATTTTTATTGGATTTCCTCGAAGTTAAAATGTAAATCTTATAGATTATGGGCACATACTTAGTATGTATTGTATTGCATTTTTCATTTGTATTATTTCTAGATGCGCTCATTTTGTTTGATCCTGACATTATTTTGTGGTCTCTTAGTCCCGATATTTGTAAAAAATAGATATGATGCACCAAGTTTTTCACAATATGATGGCTTTATGCCTGAGATTCTCCAAATCTTACCATGGTACCATCTTTATCTTGAAATAATTGCATACCCATAAACTCTTCATGTTACATGACTTTTGGAAGTTTTTCATCTGTTTTGCATCTATATATTGTTCTTTATTTTTATTTTAGGTTTACATCATATCAAATTTTGCTAACCTCACTTAGTGGGATAAAGGTTGGTTGTTGTTGTTGTTGGACCTCACTTAGTGGGATAAAGGTCGGTTGTTGTTGTTGTTGAAATTTTCTAGGAAGACCATATTTTCACCATTTATTCAATTCAAAACTCTCTATGTTATGGTTGGCTGTCAACTATTAGGTTTAGTTAATACAAGAGATTAATAGTTCAAAAAAAGATGATATTTGGGTGTTTTTATGTATGAGTGAAAGTGACGAACTAGATAAAATGATATCTTTATGATGGAAGAACAACAAAAGCACAATAAAAATAAAATTCTTACAATGGAAGCTAGAATAACCATTAATATAATTAATGATAATATAGATTAGTCCCACCAATATCCTTTGTTTTAGTTGTGATATTTATTCTTGAAAGTTTGCCTCCATGGATCATGCCACTTGCACTTAAGAGATCTTCTACTTGGATGATAGAGAACACACGAAAAATAATTAATTAAAAAATAACTTTTTATTCTATTATTAAGTTTTTAAAATTACAAGAGACTCCCTATTTATGGAAATAAAAGGGACTATCTTTATCACACCCTACCATTACATCAACTATTTTTACCATACCTATCTTCAGACATATTATCATCACCGTTGCTATCATTAGTATCACTCCTATCATCATATATGTGGTCAGTATTCTACTTACAAGTAACCTAATAAAATAAAATCTCTTCATGGGCCATATTATAAGAAATAGACAAATATATATAGGCCCATAATTTAGAACATCATGGCATAGATTTGATACAAAGACTCATAGAAAAAACAAAAACTGCAGCACCTCGTCATGCATAAAATACTCATACATAGACTCTCTTAGTTACTAAACTAGCTTCAAGATGGATTCTCTATAAAATAGTGAAATACTTTCTTAGTTGGGCTGATAATTTGAAGTTCAAAAGTTGCGGAGTGAATGTATTCTGCAACTCCTCTTCCTCTTTATTTTTTTGCTTGTGATCACAATGTTTGTGTTTAGTCATCGTATAATTCCTCTTTCTAAATAAATCTCCCTTTGGATTATATAGAATGATACAAAGATGAGAGAAATAAAAAAACGAGATATACGACGAGGATAGACAAACAAATTTTAAAAGAAACATCAAGGGCTTATGTATAAGGTAAATAAAAATATGTCACCAAAAACACGTGGTATGCTTACATTATCATGACCGGTAAATAAGTCAGCAATAAGGATGATTATCTCGTGGGAGCATCACGATGCTTTCAAAGCTCTCGCTAGGTCATCGGGTAGAGAGTGAATCTCTCACATCCCAAATGGGTTGCGGTTCATCAGCATATGGGGCCTACAAAATAACCAATTCTACTCATAGGGTCCATATTATGGTTTCAGGGCCTAACAAGGCTATAAGGGAATTGGGAACATCATTTGGCAATTTGGTATAGTTGCAGCCTTATTGGACATTATAAGATGCCTAAGCCATAGCCCTCAAGGTGAAGAGATAACATAATAGTATCAGGTCAACACCACCCTCCAAGAAGAGTTCAACCTTCAGGTTAGGCAACATGAATACATCCAGTGGAGCATCCAAGCTGACTTTTTTTTGAAGAGAAACTACTTCAGAGTGGAAAACAGTTAGAGGCCACCAGCATCAACACTCTTAGATTTGTCCTAGCCGAAAAGTGCTTCAAGTGTCAGGAATTTGGACATATTGAATCAAATTGCCCAAACATAAGAGTGATCTTTTTCATTGAGCAGGGAGTAGTTGAAAAAATGGACAGTGATCTAAGAAGGGTTGAAGATTTCAAAGATGAGTCTCAACTTTCAATTGACGAGAAAGAGACGTTAATGATTCGAGTTGGTGTTTGGAAGAGGCTCCAATTGGATTAGCATTGATTGTTTTAGAAGATAGTGAGTTCCAAGAGCCAATTCCAGAGAAGAGGCAACCCCAATAGAGGGATTCATTGGATATCCTGTCGACTGTTTACCCCTTGGGTGGTTGCCACTATGAGTGGTACACATGACACATATTTCATTCCAGAGTTTGTTCCTCTAAGTTATTTGTTTATTGGATATGCTCAACCAAGTACGAAGTGGGAGAAGTGTTTTACATATATAATGACTCCAGGCTCGGTTCTTGAGAATATCTATCATTGTGCAGTTTTTCTGTGATTGTGAAAAAAAAGTTGACTACTTATTCTAGCAGGATTATCTTTGGAATGATGAATGTGTTTCCAAGTTGCATGGAATGATCATGAGCGTAGATTTTGTAATGGGATTGCCTCTAACACAGTAAGAAGATGACTTTATTATGATTATAGTAGATAGATTCCAAGCTTTTGGGGAAGAAGGCAAAGCTCCTCTTATCTTCAGTGAATGATATTGGATGCAAGTGGAATGCAGGAGGTGAGTGTGAGGACGAAACCACAGACGATCACATGCGGGATAGGATCTCTAGGATAGCGGGATTTTTCGCTATTTCTTTTTGCGTTCTGAGGCTCCCATGAGTGCGTGTTCAAAGAGTGGGCACCGATTTTTGATTTTAACTATTTTTTTTCCTTTTCTATGTCTTTCCTATTTTGCTATTTCTAATTAATTTTTTATGTGAGGGAATTATTTATATGCTATTTTTTGGTTTGTGGAATTTTTGATTTGATTTATGTTGTTTGGAGATGTTTTCTCCGGATTTTTCCTATTGGGTTGCTGTATTTTTGGACTTTCTTCAGGTAGTGTTTGATTGTGTCTGTGGCCTGATAGGATCAAAGTTGATCTCACCCGGACGTTTGGAGGTCACTTTTATTGTCCAACTTGCAACAAACTGCTGTTTGCAACAAGAAAACTGCTGTCACATCATTATCCATGTCACAATTTCAGACAACACCCCTTGACATCCGTGCGACACCATTTTATAGCTTTTCTTGTTTTCAGTTGAGACAGCCGTCGAATATCGTCTATACTACAAATATTGTTGATCATATGTAATTGCCCTACTATTCCTTTACCTCCTCATCGAACCCACATCCCAAACACCTTCTAGGAGCCTAGATCGATACCAATAAAACTCCCAAGGATCTTATTATCTTTGTTGTACAAGAGGTTATGTATATGTACATTCCAAGTGACATTACAAAATAAGAATTGATGTGTGCTAGAAGATTCACGAAAATAAAATAACAAATTTATCGTCTTGGCGTTGCACAAAGATTCAACACACACTCAGATAAAAGAACAACACGCACTCAGATAAAAGAACAACCAGTAGAGATAGTGGAAATTTTAACGTGGGAAACCCAGAAAAGGAAAAAAATCACAGGGTCTGGTCTAGCTGAAGAAATCCACTATAAACTGGTGATTTCTAGTATAGTCCCTCGTACCACATGCAAGAAATAGTTGAACACTCTTTGGAGTTACAATGTCGGTGCATGAATGAAATTATTGTAAAAAGTAAACGACGACCAATGGTGATCGGCAACAACTGATAGATGGTGGTCAACGACGGTTGGCAGGTGGTGGTCGACGACAGTTGGCAGATGGTGGTCGACGGCGGCAGGAGCGGTGCTGGGCTTGAGCTCCTTCTCAAAGCTTCAAGCTCTTTTTCTGGAGCCTCAAGCTCCCTCATGAGAGGGGTGAGACTCTATTTATAGAGTTTCAGGTATAATTAATGCAAAAATATGAATCACTTTGATCAGACGGTCTGGAGAAGTTTCTTTGATCATATGATGTTTGATGGATATTTGAGTGTCTTGATGACGCCAAAATTGAGTGATCATTGGCTTGTTGGATTTGTCTCGTCGAGACACTCGATTCGACTGTAAGCTTGCCAGATTTGACATCTGTTTGGCCTTTCAAATATGTCCGGAAAGCTTCCAAAAGTTGTTTAATACCTTGATTGAGGCTTGATTTGACTCGGATTGGACCAATTTTGGTATCATTGTGCCCGTCTCGTTGACCCAATCAATTTGACTATAAGTTTATTTAAATCGGAACTCTGAAAGACACTTTATCGAAGTTTGAACATTTCTTGTTCAAATATTGCATTGAGATCCGTGTCATGCATCCAAATTTGTGCTAGATTATGGAAATCCATTTGCAATTTTTATTTTTCTACTGTTGGAATATGTTTGTAAATTTGAAATATATTGAGAAAGTCTGTCATATGGTTAATGACTCCTAAATCTATGATCCCAAGAAGGGAAGAACTATTAGATACACTAAGAGCATAAAATTTAGAAATCATATCATTTTGAATAAGAGAGCAAAATCCTGGTGATTTTTCTAAGAAATTGAGAAAATTTCATAATTTATTTTTTTATGAATTGAGTTCTTTTGGCTCTACCAAGCAGACTTGCTTTTTTGTTTTTTGCCTTTAATTCCTTTTTAGTCTTGGGGCTTTATGTAAAACTTTCAGCACTTGTCTTTGATTTGTTCTTTCTTTTGTCAATAATTACATCATATATTGCCTTTGAAAGAAGATTTTTATCCTTCTTTTGGAGAAGTACCTTTAGAATTTAGAAATGGCCACGATATATGTCTCCAAGGCAGGGCCATTGATCATCATTGTTCTTCTTTATTTTTCAGCTCGTACGATAAAGCATATTTCATTCAGAGAAGGTAGATTTTCTTTGCTTAAGATTTGAATTTGAATTTGAATTTGGTCATATTCATTATTGAGTATATCATTAAAAACTCGAATTTTCTCTCACTCCACGAATTTTATAATTTCACCACGTTCTCACAGCATGATATCTTGAAATATTGGCAGGTCCAACTTTAACCAGTAGACCTTCATGGCATTAAAATAGTCAATGACATGAATCTTACATTGTTTGGTAGCAGTGAGCTTTGTCTAGATGACTGCAACATCTTTTACTTTAAAATGTTTGTTTAACTGTATCTCAAATCTCTCTTACTTTGTAGAGGAACATAAAAGACCCATTGATCTTTGGTAGCTTGGTTTTCCACAATTATGTCATGACCACGAAATCCATTTTTCTCAAAATAAAAAATTTTGGGTTTTTGGGCTTCAGAGGTAAAGCCACAAGGTGTTGGATTTTTCCCTTTCCATTTAGAAAGGTTTTCATGATTTGGGACTATTTAAGAAGTTTTTTTTTTTTTTTTCCATTCTAGCGATAAGATGCTTGAAAGATTAGAATTCCTATTTATTTTGATTATTACCATTGGTGACGGTCGAGTCCTTTGAAGTGAAGTTAAAGAGGTCAGACATTGTGGATAGAAGTAGGATTTGGCAGGAAGGGTCAGATTTAAAGTGAAAATTTTAATCTTAGAGAATAAAAACAAAAGTTGGAAGTAACACTTTAGCTTTGCTTTGATATCATGTGGAAAATAAAAAATAAAAAGAAATCCTAAGAATCTTATTTTCTTTTTGTAAAAGAGGAGAGGTATTTAGACATCTCCAAGGAGCATTACAAAATATGAATAACTAAAAAAAAAAGAAAAAAAAATAATCAGGAGCCGGCAATTCTATAGGAAAGCGCACGGATTTGCAATCTGAGGGTAATAGATAAACATATCCAACGGTACAAAGCTTTGATCCATGTACCTTGAGTTCTTTGTTGTGCCTGGAGTAGCACATGAATGGCAATCCGAAAGTCATAGATAAAGATATCAAACGGTACAAAGCTTTGATCTGCGTGTCTTAAATTCATTTGTTATGATTGGAGTAGCAAAATTTTGACAGTTTATTAGAAGTTGTAAAACTGTGAAGGTTGTATTCTGTATTACAGTTTAGTAAAATTTTGAAGGAAAGTGGCTTAGAATTCTACGAATGACAGAATGAGGCAGAAAGGAAATTAGGTGAGTTGAAGCATACACTGATAAATGTAAATCTAAAAGCATATATTTATAACTGAATTAGCACCTAGTACAACTCTGCATGAACCATTTGCAGATGATCATAAAGTTACCTATTTGGGGATATGGAAAGTGCTGTTGCCGATGGTGATTCTTGCATTATGTCTTATGTGATGTGGTGCTCAAACTTACTCCAACAAAATCTAGAACGTTGTATTGCATGTTAAAAATCTTCTATCGCCTTACTATGCACCTATATGCGCTGTTTCTTTCTCATCGGAGTAAATGTCATGGTACAAAAGTGCATTACCTGTTACTAAAACAAAATGCAAGAATCAAGTTTCACAGTTCTAATGGGTGCTGTTTTTGTTGTTTTTTTATTTTTTTAAAGTTTTGAATCTTCTTTTTTTGTTTGATCATAGTTTTATTTAGTGTTTTCTAATCACCAAATTGAGTTTATTACATGCTTGTTTATATTTTTCAGTTTTTAACCTGGAGAGCACGTTCAAAACTACTTTTTCTCTGCTGGTGCTGCATATGTGGCTATTTCTACGTCGTTTGAAGGAAGAGGGCAAGGAAGGTACTGACTTTGGTCAATACTTATATGAGATCTACAATCATGATTTAGAAATGAGAGTTTCTAAGGCAGGGGTAAGAGAAAACTTGAGTACTTCATATTTATTTCAAATAGCTGTAATCTGCCAAATTGTTTAAAGAGCCTCTATGTTATTTTTTCTTTCTAGATTGTTGTCAAATGTGATATGCATGTTCTGATTACCATTATTTAGTTTTAGCAAAACAGAAAATTTCTTATACAGGTGATATTTTACTTAAACCAAAATTAATTGTGTGTTTGTATTGATGAACTAACAGGGTTGCGGGTAGCAGACAATGTATTTTTACCAAGTTTTTTGGATTAGCTTGAAAATAGAGAAAACAGAATTTCTATTGTGCTAGATCTACATTAGTATCATCATCTTCATTAGTCTTATCCTATCTATTTTGGTTCGGGTTTATGTATTTTCATTTTTGTTTATTTTTTTTGAGTGTTAGGTGTTAAACATGATCTTTACAAATCAGTTGGAACAACTTTGATGTTACATTCATGCCACTCACTTATCCTTCTTAATCGTCCAATATATATATTTTTTTACTTGTCTAATTGATACACTTGCTAATATTTGTTGTATATGTTCAAATTACCTGTCTATTTTCAAATGTCTTATCATCAATAGAAGTCACTTTTTATTCTTTTTAATACAATCTTTCCATAATTTGTCCTTCATAGTATTGCCAACTTACAACTTGTTAAAGGAAATTCACTTTCTTTAATATATTGTTCCATAGAGGATCTCTCTGTTTATGATAAAATAACGAGTAAAATATTTTAGGCAACACTCAAATAAACATACAACACTCGCTAAAGTTAGACAACTTTTCTATGTAACATTTTTTATGCTAACTCTCCCCATCAAGTTGGAGCATAAGATATATCAACTATGAAGAGTTCTATGCTGTAGTCCAAGTATTAAATTGTTGAAGTCACTACTTTTGTCCAGGAGTTTTTGTTATTCTCAGACCGTGGGGCGCTAAGTACTTTCATTGTCATAACAAGTTGAAGGGACGCTGCTATCTGGGTTCAGTTTCTCCCATCATTTTGCTATACTCTCAAGTAGAAATTTGCAGCTCAAAACAAGGTGCCAGGCATTCATTGCTCAGAACTCTACAAATAATGGTAGTGGGATTTGAAATTATGAATTAGCCCTATGCAGAAGATGTTGATATTGGAATATTTTGCTAGTAGTGCGAGGAAGGAATCCATTGACAATGCCACTTGAGAATGGCTATCTATTGTTGGGAGTTCAACTTTGCATGCCTAGGTGTTTCATATGAGAGGTCGTTTTGATTAATGTTATCATGGGAGCCTAGAGGGACACTTTGGAGAAGTAAGACTCTAGTGCTTGTGCAATAAATTTTTTAATGCCATTGTTACTTAGAGATGTTGATTGACATGTCAAGAAGTGTAGGATCTGCTGTATTATCGAAGCTGGTGAGCATAAAACAAAATGATGCTACATATATATCACCAAACAATAGTTCCAGAAGATTGTGCTACTTGTTGGCAAAAATTTCACATTCTATTTAGTTGTTATTTTCATAAGCCACTTATGTGATACCTTGTGGTGAAAGATGGGAGCCAAATTGCAATATCGTTGTTTCCTCGTCTGCAAAACGATGGACAAATAAAAGTTTTGAACCTTAGTTTATAAAATTTGCTTCATTATTTTGTGGGCAAGGATGATTATTGCTCAATTAGAGTTTTCATATGACACATTGCTAAGCTATACAACCAGTTGAAACTTGTTTGAAGTTGTTTATAGCCATAACCCAACACTTATGTTGAACTCATATACCAATATCCACCAACATTGAATTCAATTTTGATTCAGATAAAAAAGGCGGCTACATCAGCATGTTAATGATATAATTGAGAAGGAAATGCCAAGTATCTGAAACATGCTAACAATTTTTGAAAGCGAGTAGCCTTCATGGAAGGGACTTAGGGTTTGTTTGGCATAGTTGTCACCTACATTGAGTTTTAGACCACCAATATAGTTCTTTTTGGGGATTTTTTTTTTTTGCTGATTTTTAGAAATTTTTGTGGTGGGAAGATATTTTTTGCAACTAAATATGTTAAAAGTGAGGTAGCTGTTAGAAAACTACAGACTTTTTAGGAAAAGAAGATATTTAAAATTATCAAAACAATTATATAAAAAGTTGATTTCCCCACAACAACTTTTACAATTCAAAAAACTATAGCGGGCTTAAACGAAACTTTAGTTTGGATTCATCTAAGGAGAGATTTTCACCAAGGTCATATTCTAAACTAATAGTTGAATGGGCCTTTTCGGGTTATTTAATAAAAAACCCTTTAAAATCTAACTACCAAGACATTATAACATTTTCAAGACTTAATAGGTCTATCACCGTATCATGACCGAAATAGCATATTCAGGACATCACAGAGGCATCTTCTCCAACTTGAGGAGATTGACAACTTCAAAAACAGATGTTTACTGGGTACCTTGGCGCCACTTGTTCCAAAATTTATGACTAGTTCAAGGTGAAACCAGTTACTCTTTTTCTTAGTATTCTAGGTGCGAGTAATTAATTTCTTTTATTTCCTTAAATCCAATTTAATGTGTAGCTGAGATCTGCCATAGACATGATATATTGTAATTGAAAAGACACATTTTTATGTTCTTAATTATCTTCATATTTAATATATAAAGAGGTTTAGTGGGCTTCCGTTGGGCACTTGATCCGGGTCCTTAAGGTAACTGATACCAAAGTTAACCCATACCACAATAAAAAAAACAAATAATATTACTAGAAGCAAATAGTCGGTTACAACCGTACACATTTGAAATGGAAATTACTACAAATACGCCTGACATTTAAAAAGTGAAATAGGAAATAACAACAAATGACTACGCAATCTCAAATTAGGGTAAATCTCGAGGTAGTGTTGGCAATCAACGAGATGGTGGGCGGGATGGTTGGCCATGGAAAACAACAAGGTAACAGTTTTTCGGGTTCCGGACAACAAACAGGCAGTGGATAATGATGTGGAACTTCTATTCTGGATGATGGTAGCAAGTGGGAAGGGGGTAGGGCAAGTTATGAAGGCAACAACTCATGGGAAGGGAGGAGTGATGGCTGGGACAGGCAGTGAAAGCAGTACGGTTGTGGAGGGGATGGTAGTGGTGGCTGAACAACCGCAAGGCTACAGGGAAAAGAGGTCTGGATGGCTGGAACACATGAAAACAGCCGTGAATGGCTATCTGGGTCGTCAGTTACGAGGGGGAATGACGGTGTCAATGATGGGGGATATCAGGGACTGTAAGACAACAAGAGGAGGGTTGTCTGGTACGAGTGCAACAAATGTAGGTGTTTGGAATTGGAAAAACTACAATGAAAATAGTCACGACATTTGCAGCAATGGATGGTGGTCCGGAGCGACGTGGGGAGGATGTGGAACGGAATAGGGAAGATAATCACCACCTCATGAGAGAGATAGCTGGCGCAACACCCAAACTCTTGGATACATCCCTCAAAGGGAGAAACAAATGCCAATAAACAAAACTCACAAAAAAAGAAAAAAAAAAAAAAAAAATTAAAAAATCCAAAATTCCAATATTAAATTTTAGGATAACCTTGTTAGAATATCTAAAATTCTAATATATAATATTAGGATAACTATGAGTAACCCAAGAGGATCGTCCGACTCCTTTGAATGGAAAAAAAAAAAAAAAACTAGGCAAACGGCTAGTTCGTAGCTTCATTCACAGGACTCCCAAATCGGGAGCAGGGGCACTCCAGTGTCAATAACTCTGTGTAGCATCTAGTAGGTTTTTGTCGTTGTGGTTTGAACTCTCAAATTCTGAATTTGGTTGAAATTTTGGGTATGGGTGTCAAGTCTCTGCTCAAATGTTAGCAACAAGACCATGACTCTAGAAAAATCCGAAGTTCACGCTTATTGAAGAACGTCAAATTGTTAAGGATTATCACCTTAAAAATTGTTATTGTTGGGCTATAACACCAGAATAAAGAATGTAACATTATTTAATTGTAACTCATTTTTAACTCTGAAATCCCATTTCTCTAACCCATTGATAGATGGAATCTACGATGAACAAGCAGACATCTAGTATAATTGTATTTGAGATTTTCTCCAATTACTCTCTGTAATGTCGAGTTGATCTATTTGTGTATGTATGGAATAATTACCTTTCTTCTTGTTTTTCAATTTTTTTTTTTTCAAGAACTTTTAGAACACGAGCTTTCACAACTTGCAAAAGTATGCTTTTGTTTATTTTAAATTTAATGCAGGTTAACCTACTATTAATAAAATGGATGAAAGAACTGGAGAAGATTTTCTATGGGAATATCGTTGCTTATGATGATGCCATGAAACCTGATGCTAAGCACGATGAGCTCGCAAATGCTTTATGGAGGTACAGTTAATATGAAAATTCTGATTGAAGTTATCAGCAAAGATTGTTGGTTGTGGAACTGATATAAATTAAATTCATATTGCATGCATAATTACGTGACCCCATCATTAGATCTTCCTTGCCCATTAAAAGATGAGCCCGATTTTATTTTTTGGCAAGATACTCATCTAAATCTTGACAGTTATCAATGTCTAACGAGCTAGTATTTTGACCGGCACAGTTACCTGATTTCATCTCGGAGTAATATTTTTTATGGAAAATGGAAAATTAAATTTCAATGATGCTAATTTTCATCGGCTTATGTTATTCTCAAAAACTATGGCATGTTATATCATCCCGTACAACCACTTCTTTAGTTTATCTAGTCAATGATTGGACAGCTCAAAGGGCTTGCAAATTGAAAAATATATTGTAGCCTTTGATAAAAACCTACGCCCACAATCTAACAGGTCTGGTCTAACGATTGCATGCCCTAGGTTTTGATTAGTTCATGGAAGTGAAGCCTTGATATAACATTTCCCAACGAAATTAGTTGAGTATATTTTAATTAGTAATTATGAAATAAAAATTATATTTATTTATATCTTAAATTCATATTATTGACTTTTTATGGGGTTTTTACATACATAGCATTTCAAGGATTCTTATTTATATATCTCACACCCATAAATTGTAATTTAAATATTAAAAACCAAAATCATTTCATGCCTCAAAAATAGCACACGAGATAACAGAGTTTGCAGTTTCGTTAAACTCATGAGCTAATCTCTCCCAAACCTGTTTGCTCGCAATCTTCTTCTCCTTGCTTCCAACAAAACTCCAAATAATAAGAAATGCTTTACTTAAAATTCTCACTTATCATTTGTCCCTTCAAATTTTTTCAGTCGAGCCCACTCTTTGATTCCTTCTCATCTTCATTTATTAATACGTCACATTTATCATCTTCCATTTTGAATATCTTCAAAAGTTTTAGTGACTCTAGTCCCTACATAACTTGAGAGAAAGAACCAACTTTAGAAGCAAGGATGGATGAGGCATTTGTATGCTGATGAGCTACACCCATTCACTTAGCTATAATCATTCGAATGAAGAGTGATGCCATTTGTATGTTGCAATGTTTATGTAACATTCATATCAACGATGGATGAGGCATTTCATCCTTTTTCTGTTGGAATTTGAACCTAAGACCACCGCTTTAGAAGTTACAGGCAATACTACTCAAACAAGTGATTCGTAATGAGGTATTTTGTCCTTTGATATATTTGAAATTATTTTTTTTGGACAACATCTTGGCTCACAAAAATAGTTGGGATGAACATCTATAGTACCTAGGTTAGCTTTTGAGATTCTTGGGAGATGCTTGACTCTTATTCTTAAAAGTGCAAGTTAGGCAGTCTCAAACAAACTTAGCCTCAGCTTCATTATGTGCAAAAATGAACTATACATTAAACACTCTCCCTATTGTATGAAGTTTCATCACTGTTTATTATTACATGTGGAAGTTCATACAACACTTTTTAAAGTGTTGGAAGCCCCTTTCATTAGGGTGATAAAAAGGAAAGTATCTTTTAGTTGCTCAAGTAGATTGTTAAAGTATAGTGACTCCCTTTCAAGTTTAATGCAGTTGTTCGAGATGGAGACTGCACATCCAACTATCTCATCAGTGTTGTTGACAACCAAGATGGTTGGCATGTGCCTTATCATCTGGAGATACTACAGGTGTCTGTAAGAATTACCCAACTTTTGATGAGGAATTCTTTGCCTTACATTTTGAAATAAAATATTGGATTCGCTGCCTATTATGGAAGGAGAATTCTCTACATATGTATAACTTGTTAATGTAGTGCCTTTAGATGCAACCCAAGGTTTATCAAGCTCGACACGTGTAGTGCATGTATCTTCAATAATTAAATATGTTGCTTCCTTGTTTGTGAGAATGCTTGTTTTATTAATGCAGAATGAGGAGTACACTGCATTGTATGCAACAAATCCGGACTTCTAAGAGACCTGGATGGCTTGCAATAAGGTTGGATGGTAGGGAGTGGGTCATGAACAATTCTTGGATATGCCTAAACGGCCTCGATAAATTCTTGGTCATATTGAACAACCATGTTGTACCCCCAACTAGCGAATAAAAGGCTGCATTTAGGCTTACCGGCAATGTTACATTTGTTAGTAAGGACTTCTGTAACATCGAAATCATGCAAAAGCACCAATCATATTACATAGATGTGAGACACATACTTTTGAGAGTAGTAGGACATTTTAAAGTGGCGAAAACCCTCCAAAATTTGAAGCAGTCCTACAAGCTAAAGATGCCTATGGATGTGCGGCAATTCAAGAAGGGATTTATGATATGCCTTGGCACCAAAATCAGCAAACCAACCACGACAAAATGACAATAAATAGGTGAAAGAAACACAAACAAGGGCTGCTCTTACAATAATCAAAGGAAAACAAGGAAGATACAAGGTTGATCTACTTTCGAGATGTAGATCGACTCTTCCACGCTTTAGGCATCGCTAGAAACACCACAAGAGAAAAAAAAAACAGCAACCAAACGAAAACGTGCATAAAGAAACAGCAAACCCTAGGTTCCCCCCTTAATAGAATCCTCCCAAAGTATTTGAAAACTTTTCTTACAAATTTTCCCTCCAAACTCCTTTAATTTCTGCTCCTTACATAGGTATATATGGCCCTAGTGGACCCCATCATTTCCTTTCCCTCTTCTGCGATTTCTACTGTTTGCTACCCTTCTTCCCGTCGCCAAGACCTGCCAGCTTGTGGGCTGGTTCCGCTGCTTCCAGCTGGTCCAAGGTGGACTTGCGCGTGTATTTGCTGAGACAATGTAAGATTACTCCCCTCCCAAAAAGGTACCTTTTCTTCAAGGTGGAAGGATGTAAACTGCTTGTAAATCACCTCGTAAGTCTCCCATGTTGCCTTATAGTTTGGTAGCCCCTTCCGTTGACCAATAGCTCCTTTGATCCCCCTACTTCTCAGCGCAGTCCTTCGATCTCTAACGGTTCCAAATTTACCTCCAAGTCTTCTGTTAGCGTCGGCGGTAGCGCAGGCGAGAGTGTATGATCTCCAATCGTACATCTCAGCTATGATACATGGAAAACCGGGTGTAGTGGATGACGGTGGTAACCTCAAACGATAGGCCACTACCCGATGAGTGTCATCACCTCATAAGGCCCAAAGTATCTCGGTGAAAGCCTCTTGCTCCTCCTGGACAATGTCTCGTCTTGATGGTCTCAACTTCCAGTGGATCATGTCCCCTGGTTTGAATTGCACCTCTTTTGTGTCCATCCGCTTTTCTCTTCATGATTTGTTGAGCCCTCAGAATATGCCCTTTAAGCTCTGCTAGTATCTTGTCACTGTCTCCAAGTACTGATTAACACTGATACCAGTATAGTGCTTTGCTCATAATGTATCAAGTGAGGTGAATCTTGCTCATATAATATCTTGGAAGGTGTTGTTTGTGCTGCGGTGTAGTACGAAGTATTATACCAATATTTGTCCAATGCAATCCACAGCCCATAACTTCGGTGTATCAGATACAAAACAACACAAGTGTGTTTCCACACTCCTGTTGACCACCTCCGTTTGCCCATCGGTTTGGGGTGATGTGCGGTGCTTCTTTTTAAGGATTGTACCTTGTAACCTAAATAGCTTTCTAGAAGTGGTTGAGGAACACCTTATCTTTATCCAATACATTGATTTCGACACCCTGTGCAAACGGAACACTTCCCCATAAACACCATCGCAACTGAGATCACAGTGTAGGGATGTCGTAAGGGCATGAAATGTGCATACTTGAGTTATCCACGACCACCATAATCACTGTGAATCTTTGTGACCATGACAATCCTTCGATAAAATCCATCGTCACTCCTTCTCAAATCTTCTTCGGTAATGTTGATGGTTGTAGTAATCACTCCTCAAATCTTCTTCGGTAATGTTGATGGTTGTAGTAACTCCTCCTGGTTTCGTGGTCAAGTACTTGTGTTGCTGGCACACAACACATTTTGTCACTATGTTCTCCACGTTTCTACGCATCCCCACCCAATAAAGCTCTGCCGCCAAACGACTGTAGGTCTTCTGCACCCCTGAGTGTCCCCCAATCGCACCGCCATGAAACTCTTGTAATAATCTGGGAATATAATTCAACCACTTGGGTAGCATGACCGCCTCTGGTGGAGCAGCTACTGTCCTCTCAATGCATATCCGGGATGATTGTTCGGATCTTGTAGTAATTCGACTCTTATCTTTCTCAGCTTCTCATCCCTTTCGCTTTTCTATTTCAAGGCTTTCCAATCTATGACCAAGGATACTGATAGAACCGTCAATTGTGGTTCCTCTATCTTTCTCGATAGTGTGTCAGCTGCCTTGTTATCCAATCTTGGTCAGTACTGAATCTGGAAATCATACTCGAAAAGATTGGATAGCCATCTCTGATGTTCCTCAGTCATCATTTGCCGCTCCAAAAGATACTTTAAACCCGTCTGTTCTGTTCTGACCAAAAAAATGTCGTCCCAACAGGTAAGGCTGTCACTTCTGAATGACCAAGACAATGACCATCAATTTCTGTTGAAATACTGACTTTAGCCTCGCTCTGGTCGTAAGAATCTGGCTGAAGTAGGAAATTGACCTCTTATCCTACATGAGCACTGCTCCTAATTCGTATCCCGATGTATCCGTCTCCACCACAAATGGTTTACGGAAATTTGGAAGTGTTAATACAGGTACTCTAGTCATGGTCCTCTTCAGATGTACAAATGCTCGTGTTGTTGCTTCCCCCCAATTGAAATTGTCTTTCTTCAACTGCTCCGTCAATGCGATGCTATCGGGTTATATCCTCTCATGAACTTCTGGTAGTAGTCAGTGAGTCCCAAGCATCCTCTCTCAACTGCTTCAAATTCCTTATTAAGGGTCAATCAAGCATAACCTCAATCTTGGACTGATCCACTACTTGCTTCGTTCTGGTCACAAGTCCTAGATACTCTACCTATAACTGTGCAAAATAACATTTCTTCAAGTTAGCTTACAATTGGTGCTCCCTCAACTTCTCCAGAACTGTCCTCAGGTGCCCCACACGCTTTGCTTCTATATGACTGTAGATAAGAATATCATCAAAGAAAATCAGAACAAATTTCGGGAGAGTAGGTTGAAAAACTCTATTCATCCTGATTTGGTGGTACCTTAAGATTACCATTTCCTTGTTCAAAGCCCAGTAGTTCACGCAGATCTTCAACTACCATCTTTTTTCTTCACACTTGGGTAGCATGACCGCCTCTGGTGGAGCAGCTACTGTCCTCTCAATGCATATCCGGGATGATTGTTCGGATCTTGTAGTAATTCGACTCTTATCTTTCTCAGCTTCTCATCCCTTTCGCTTTTCTATTTCAAGGCTTTCCAATCTATGACCAAGGATACTGATAGAACCGTCAATTGTGGTTCCTCTATCTTTCTCGATAGTGTGTCAGCTGCCTTGTTATCCAATCTTGGTCAGTACTGAATCTGGAAATCATACTCGAAAAGATTGGATAGCCATCTCTGATGTTCCTCAGTCATCATTCGCCGCTCCAAAAGATACTTTAAACTCGTCTGTTCTGTCCTGACCAAAAAAATGTCGTCCCAACAGGTAAGGCTGTCACTTCTGAATGACCAAGACAATGACCATCAATTTCTGTTGAAATACTGACGTTAGCCTCGCTCTGGTCGTAAGAATCTGGCTGAAGTAGGAAATTGACCTCTTATCCTACATGAGCACTGCTCCTAATTCGTATCCCGACGTATCCGTCTCCACCACAAATGGTTTACGGAAATTTGGAAGTGTTAATACAGGTACTCTAGTCATGGTCCTCTTCAGATGTTCAAATGCTCGTGTTGTTGCTTCCCCCCAATTGAAATTGTCTTTCTTCAACTGCTCCGTCAATGCGATGCTATCGGGCTATATCCTCTCATGAACTTCTGGTAGTAGTCAGTGAGTCCCAAGCATCCTCTCTCAACTGCTTCAAATTCCTTATTAAGGGTCAATCAAGCATAACCTCAATCTTGGACTGATCCACTACTTGCTTCGTTCTGGTCACAAGTCCTAGATACTCTGCCTATAACTGTGCAAAATAACATTTCTTCAAGTTAGCTTACAATTGGTGCTCCCTCAACTTCTCCAGGACTGTCCTCAGGTGCCCCACACGCTTTGCTTCTATATGACTGTAGATAAGAATATCATCAAAGAAAATCAGAACAAATTTCGGGAGAGTAGGTTGAAAAACTCTATTCATCCTGATTTGGTGGTACCTTAAGATTACCATTTCCTTGTTCAAAGCCCAGTAGTTCACGCAGATCTTCAACTACCATCTTTTTTCTTCACCAACAAGACGAGACTGGAAAAATAACTCACACTAGGCCTGATAATCTCAGCCTCATGCATCTCTCGGATCAGTTTATTTATCTCATCCTCTAAATCTGGGGGTGCTTATATGGTCTGACGTTGATAGGAGAATTACCCTTCTTCAATATAATAGCGTGCTCATTCTCCCTCCAAGTAGATAACCCGCTTGGCTGTTGGAAAAGATCAGTAAACTGTTGTAGGAGCTGCTACACCCTTTTCGCCCTTTTCGGAAAGTTTGCCACCTCAATGCTCTGCAACTCCACCAAGTAATCCTGTCCCCGAATCGACTTAACTATGGTTTTGAGTGACACCATGATTTTGCATAAGCTAGCATCTTCTCTCAGCACCATCTTCCTACCATCCACTTGGAATTCCATCATCAAAGACTTCCAATCCATCTTCATCTCTCCCAATGTTCGCAGTCACTTCATCCCCAAAATCATATATGTGCTGCCCAAATCTAATGGAAATCTTCTACCACTTATAAGCCATGTAGTGTTAGGACCAACCCCTTGTAAATTCTCCAACTTTTCTCCACTTTTCCTGTCCCCATCATGACGCCGAAGCTCCCTATAGTCACCAGGTTCAACCTTAGCTTCTCCATCACCTGATTTTAGATAAAGTTATGTGTGGTCTCCCTATCCACTAAAACCACCACTGGTTGTTCCCCGATCCATCCTCTCATTTTCATGGTGTGATTCGAGGTAAATCCCACCACCGAATTGAATGACACCTTCACCACATCCAAATGTAGATGCTCCTCCTCTGCTGCTTCCTCTTCTGATTTCTCACACTATGTATCATTCTCTTGAACTAAAAGATCCTAAAAGGCGCGCTCTTTGCAACGGTGTCCTGGGGCGTATTTCTCGTCATAGCGGTAACACAATCCTTTGGCTTTTTTGTTCTGCACTTCTACATCTGTGAGACACTTGAAATTATCCTCAGGTCGGGGTCATGTACTCTTCTCCTTCGACATCTCTTTCGGAAATGACACCGTCTGGGTCCTTGTAGTGGTTGTCATGGTGCTCTTGTAGAATCCCCTGGTGTTGTTGCCTCTGCTGGATTTTTTTATCTGTTTCTTATCCTCCACCATCTGGGCGAGCTTCATCATTTTCCTTAATTCGCGCGGTCTCAAGGGGCGGATGACCGCTCTTATAGCGGGCTTTAGGCATTTCAATAACTTCCCTTGTAGTCCAGCTGCCGAAATCCCCCTCAACCTCCCTGATAAAAGCTCGAACATCTCTCGGTATTCCATAACCATTCTCTCCCGAGTCTTAGCATAGAATTGCCCGTGTTTCTTTCCCGAATGACTCGAAAATGCTCCAACAAACAATCTTTAAAATCCTCCCATTAGTGCATCGGATACATTGCCTCCACTCACTGGAACCACGCTAAAGCCTTCCCTTCCAAGCATAATCCCGCTGTCATGAGCTTCTCTTTCTCAGTTAACTCATTGATTGCAAAGTATCTCTCCACTCGATACACCCATCCATGTGCATCCTCCTCGTCAAAGATCAACATCTTCAATTTTCTGAACCTTACATCTCCACCCCAACTTCTTCTCTTTCTAGAATTTCCCCCCATGTATCTAGGTCGAAACTCCCTCATGTAGTCATAGGCATATCCCACTTTTGCTTCCCTCCTTCCTCCATCATACTCTTCCATGCCCCTTCCACTATCTCTTCTCCAATTTTCAGCCCACCCCCCTCCATTGGAAGCCGCCACCCCCCCTCTTGAAATCCTAGGGGGACGCTCTTGTAGGCAGATGATGTCTTCTTTGTGGTCTTCTCGCTCAATCTCCTTCCCTTTTAACCTGGTCAAGGATTCCCCTATCAACCCTTGGTTAGGGTTTGCAACTGGAGCGGTCGGCACGGTCTTGGATTGCATCTCCATGCGCTTTTTCATTATCTCCCGCATGTCTTTTATGCCTTCAAATCCATCATTTATTTGACTTCACTAGAAGAAAGTCTGTTCTCCATGGTAGCAAACATTTCTTTCATTCCCGATCGGATTTGCTCTACCTCTACTTCTAGCACATCAACTTTCTTTGTTGACATCCCACCTGGATCTATGCTTTGATATCAATTTGATACGTCTCGGCACTAAAATCAGCGAACCAACCACGATAAAGTCGCAATAAATAGGTGAAAGAAACACAAATAAGGGCTGCTTTTACAAAAATCAAAGGAAAACAAGCAAGATACAAGATTGATCTACTTTCGAGAGGTAGATCGGCTCTCCCATCCCATATTCTAGACGTTGCTAGGAACACCACAAAAGAAAAGCAAACAGCAGCCAAATAAAAAAGTGCATAAGAAAACAACAAACCTATGTTCTTTTCTTAATAGAATCCTCTCAAAGCATTTGGAAACTTCTCTTACAAAGTTTCCCTCCATACTTCTTTAATTTCTCCTCCTTACATAGGTGATTATGACCCTAGTGGACCCAGCCCTTTCCTTTCCCACTTCATCGGCTCCCACTGTCAGCTCCCCTTCTTCCCATTCCCATTGCCATGATTGGCCTGCCTGTGGGCCGGTTCCGCTGCTTCCAGCCGGTCCACCCTGTATTTTCTGAGACATTTATTGCTTTGCTGCTCATCAAATTTCCAAAATTATTTCAGAAAAGGATAGTTGTTTTCTTTGCAATTTTTGGAAAGCCTCGTGGGACTTAATGGACAGCGGGCTAAAGCAACACACGATCTTTCGTCCAGAGATTAATGTGTTGATGGTAGCGGTGAACCGAACGGTGGCATGAATTGATGAGGACATGCGAGGATTTGGAAATAAAATCTTCCTTTTATGTAAATATGGATCGATAACAAACTCTCCTTTTGAGATATACCTACGCTATCTATTTGTTCTTTTAAAATCGTGATTGAAATCATTTATTTCACTGGTTTTAAAGGAATGAGAAAGCAGAGCATTTTAATCTTACACATTAAAGTCATAACATCAAATCCTAGATCGGAACATCGTGCTCATTCTCCTTCTATATCCTGTTGTTCTTTCATTATTAACATTGGCTTTCCCAATCACTCACGTTAGAGAAGAAAGAATTGTAAGTTAAGGATTAGAGCTATAAAGCAAAGAAAATGAATTAATTAAGTTAGTGACACTGTTCATCTTCGATTAAAATTTAGACGTGATTAACATCGTGAAAATGCTGCCTTCGCTACGAATCTCTTTCAATTTATCATATAGAATTACCATATCAGATCTTGGAATCTTTTTCCGCGGTTGCTGATCTAATTTGTCCATTTATTATCTGATTAATTTTTATTGCCTTTACTCCTAAATTAAAACTTTTTTTTTTTTTGGTTCTCCCCATTTCTTTCTGTCAATTTATCTAATTTATGGTTTTCTCCCCATTTCTTTCTGTCAATTTATCTAATTTATGAGGACCTAAATAACCTTTGGTTGTTGTTAAACTTGTCCTTCACTGTTGATTCCAGAACATGTTAATAATACTTTTGAACATTTACATGCCCACCACCCAATTCCTATATATTTACTTATCTTTTATCAAGTGATATCTATGTGGATCGTCCTAGTATCTTTTGCTTGTGTAGCCAACTCTTTTTCTGTTATTTAGGAATATATTCTCAGAAGATGGTACAGGCCCACCAAATGACGCAGCTACAACTGCTGTCCAGGCATGTCCCTTTAATAACTGATGTCATATATGTATATATATATATATAATTTTCTACCTGTTAGCTTCCTTCTTTTAACTTTTTAGGCAATGTCAAGATACACACGCAGGGAGGCTACCTGCCTATCATTGACAGGTATGATATACTGCTTCAGCGTTTATAATCCTCTCGTTCTGTCTCAAAATTTATGGTTTCTTTATTGTTTTTCTTTTTTTTTTGGAGCAATTACATACGTAGCCCTCACAAAGCATTGCTATTTACAAATTTACCATAAATCCCCAGTCCTTAATTTCCATTTCTTTGTCAATTTGTAAATGGCTTGATCGTGACACGCATAAATGCATCGGTTTGATAGTTTGAAAAATTATCTCTTGCAATGTTAAATGCTTATGTAATTATCCTTTTTTGTTTCCCTTAGATGATGGGAAAAGATAATTCAAAATAAAGAACTAAATAATTAACATTTGTTTGCTTTCATTCTGGGGGCTGAATACTATAAGAATGAATGTAGGAGAATTCTGAAATTTTGCCCGAAATACTATAGTAATGACGACGACGACGACGATAACGATGACTAGTCTTTCGGTTTAATCTTACCTCTTATGACGATGACTAGTCTTTCGGTTTAATCTTACCTCTTAAAATATAATCTTCTCATCATATGCAGACAAGGAGGCTATATTCTCTGGCAACTTCTTGTTTACATCCTTGGAATTGCAACGCAAGCAACATAATTGAGGTCTATAAAACAATGTAAATAACATTTTCTTTAATAAAAGAAAACCTTGCCTGCAAGCTAGTGATGTTGATTATTTCTGATATTTTATATTTGATTCCTTTTAAAATAGGGGCACATGACTGAAATGTTATTATTATAATTGAAATATTATTTGCTATTTTTGTTTCCTTTTTTCTGAAGAGACAAAGGGCATTCATGTAATGTGGTTCTTGTGTTGTATTAATGACTTGGCTTCATGTTTCTTCATGTGCATTATTGGTGTATTATTAAGATATAATGTGTACTTCCATGCAATTAGTTTTAATATGCTCTAGTGGATAGGCTTTGGATATAGGCATATAGCTGTGATGGTGGCACATGAAATTTTAATGATATGTATGCTGCTTATTGTGTATGAATATTTTAGGAAGATTCATATACATGCCATATCTTACACTTCAATTTTGTTACATGCATGTCACCTTGCCTATGAAATGATGTATTTCACCTTTTTGTTTAATAAAAATAGTGATACTTTTAATATGGTATGTAAGATTTGAGTGATATAAATATAAAAATGATAATTTAAGTAATTAGATATGTAAATACAGAGGAATTGTGGTATGTAAATGACCTAATGTTTTAATAATATTTTTTATTCTGTAATAAATAAATGTTTTTAATATATTTACCATATAATATCATATAAATATATGTGATTTAACAACAATAAAAAGATCACTTCAAAATTTAATATTTATTATAATTAAAATTTGTTTTTTCCCCAATCCTTCACTTAAATGAATCACTTTTTAAGATTTTTTTTTTCATTTCAACTTGAGGTATATTGCAATTGGCCAAGTCTAATTTTGCACTCTTAAATAAATAGAACTCTTCATTGTCATGAACTTAAGCCTATCCCCACAACTTTTATGATTTGGTCTTAAACCTTTGAGACATGTTACAATGGTATGACATTTATTAATATGGATTAAATGTAAATATGATGTTATTGTAATGTATTTTATTATAGTTATTGGTTGTGCAAAACAATGTCGAAGATGGAAGCACATAACAAGCAAACAATTTAAAAACCGTGATTTATGTGGTTTGGCGCAAATCAGTTTGTTTGAGATTAGGGGTTAATCTACTATCAACATGTGGGGAAGGAGGGAAAAATGGTCAAAATAGGGTAACAATTCCTTGCATAAAAGTCAGCCCTAATTCCTAGAAATAAGAGCACAATGGAATATAAAATAAAAATGTTTTTAATATATAAAATATTATGTAATTTGATTTCTTCTAATTAGGTCATCTAAGGGCAAGCTTCTTATTATAGAAAAGACAGTCTAATTAGATCTTTTCTAATTAAGTTATATAATATCAATTTTTTTAATGTACATAATTCTTAATATATAGTCCTTAGATTTAATATTTTTTATAATAATTTACACCTTGTCTCTTACTTCCAAGTAAATGAGAGATGACCAAAATGAGCTCCAAGATCAAAACAGTTACACCATGATGGTTTCCTATGTATCTCTTCCGAAGAATTTAAACCTCACATAGTTTTTTAAGATACTCGAATAGACAATCAA